TGTTCTCTGCTGTTTTTGCTAAAAATAATGTGAGGTTTCGAGGTAGTTCTTAAAAGTTGAGCATTTGTTTGAAAAATGTGCAGAGGCGGTGGTTCTCTCAAAGAATGAAAAAAAAAGAAAAAAAAAATGAATGAAAGCTAAAGAGAGCCACTACCAAAAACACGGGCATCCCTGACTAAAAGACTACCATGTTCCTCAGGCCGTGTTTTCACTGCCGAGGGCGTATCATGACGACTGCTGAGGAGTTCAAAACACGGGCGGCACTGGAGAAAAACACGACCGTGTCACTTATGGGACACGACCGTGTTTTGGGAGTGACGCGGGCGGGATGAGGCAAAACACGGCCGTGTCCTCGACCGTTTTTTGCCCAGAATCGGGTTTTTTAGGCAGATTTGAGCCAAAGGAAAGGAGAATCGACTTTTGAAGGGAAAATAGAGTTTTAGAGAGAGAAAGTGCACAGAACAAACCCTAGGAGCTATTTGGAGTGGATTTCTCACCATTGAAGCCCAGATTGCATCCCCAGGAGTGAAGATCGACATCCCAGTGCAGATTATCCCTATCTTTATGAGTATGACTGCTCTGATTTCTGATTTCCTCTCTCTCTCTTTGGAGTAGAGCCCTCTCTCACTTTGGTATGAAGAACCCTAGTTCCATGTGTTAGGAATTTTGATTGTAATGACTTTGGATTGATATACTGCTTGATTAAAATCGATTGATGCATGATTCATTGAGTCAATTGAAGCCTGATCAACTTTTCTTGATTTCTGCTACAACCTGAGATAGATAAAATCTGATTAGGTTGTTTGAGCTTCATCAATCGCTAGTAGTAAATTGGTTATACGAGAGTTAATCGATTTACTGCTTTGTACTGGAATACAATTCCAGTAGTGGAGTTATGTGTTTATTGCCTCAGCAGTCTATCCCGGTGAAGGCTAGTCGCCTGCCGTTTAGTCTGTCTGAGAGGGTTTGGTCAGCTTAAGAGATTCCAAGCTACTGTCTGATCTTCTGCAGTTTAATCAACAGTAAATCAACCAAAGGTAATTACAACTTTGACCTAACTAAGGAGCTAGGGGGAATCATTCCCGAGTGACTCTTTCCTGCTTAAGAACTTCGAACCATTTCCAGCTTTCTTACTACTTTTGCTTAAAACCAATTCAATTAACTTAGTTTTCTATATAATAAATCATCACGATGTAGGCAGTATATCTAGACCTCGTGTTGATAATTAGAACTTGCCACTATTCTGCATTTCCGGACTGCGATTACACTTGGTCGTAGTTTGGTGTTCTGTTTTAGCGTGTCACTCACAAAAGAAGAAGAAAATAGTAAAACCCCTCATACTCTGGTACTCTAATCATGCAATTATCATCTACTGAGCATAATACATCAATCATATAACAAATCAAAGCATATCGAGTAGGGTGTTGCAAGTAGGGGTGGGCAGTCGCTTCAATAAACCTAAACCGAACCGAGCTTAAACCGAACCAAAACCAAAATTGTGTTGTTCAGTTCAGAAATTGGAAGAAGAACTGGCCTAATTAGGAAATCAAGGTTGTAACGACCGAACCAAGTTCCTGAATTTAGACAATCGGTAATAGGCTTACTTCCTCGCTCAACTCTAGCTATGACGGTTTAACCACAATTAATCAACTTGTTCAATTCAATATTGAAGATTTCCCCAACTCAACCTAGTTTAGGTTGCTTGGAAAGCGGAAGGAAAACCAACTCGATTGAGTCTCCCTTGAAAAGGGGTTTTCCTCTCTAAACTAGGCTAAGTTAGCAAATTAGATTACTAGCACCTAAATGCACAAACTTAGGGGGTGTTAAGCACAATTATGCACAATCCCTAGGATGCTAAGCACAAAATATGCACAACCCTAAGTTGCTAAGCATAAGCATGCAAAATCATGGTGAAAAATACCTCAAACATGAAATTGAACAATACCCAATATTAATCATCCAAACCACATACAAGAAAACTACATAGTAGGGTTTAGGGTTTCACTACACCCAAGTGAAAGGAGGACTACTCCATGGAAGAAGTGGGAAAATCAAAGGAGAAAAAGGTGGAAACCCTCTTTAAGGACGCCTTCTCTCTTCTTCAACCTTGAGTTGGGATTTCCTTGGGGAAATCTTCCCAAAACCTCCTTTGAATCCAAGCCCTAACCTCTTCTTCTCTTTTGATTCTGTTTCTCTCACTAAAATGCAGAAGAAGTGTTTCTCTCACAAAAGTGGCTCTCCCTTTCTCTTTCCTTGTAGATCAGCTTTTAAACACGAGAAGAGCTAAGTTCATGCCCTGAGTTCACGACCGTGTACCATCAAACGCGTCTGTGAACTCACGCCTTGCGCCAAAACGCTCCGCATCGATCCTGAAAAGCACTCAAACACAAAGAAACTCGCGTAAAACCAACCTTTAATGAGCGAATTTGGCACAAACTTCTAAGCAAACCAGGGGCAAAATATGTGGAATTAGGCCCGAATCACTCTCCCACAATTAGACGTTTGCTTGTCCCCAAGCAAACCATTTCACGCACACGGTAATATTTCAACCTACACAAATGCTTTGTGGACAACTCAAAGGACACGAAGCGGAAATTCTCGATGTTTATTGACAATCAACACATGAACCGTTGCAAGCAATACCGACATCCACCCACAAACGACATTCAAAGCCACCAAAACGGGCAAATGAAAAGTTCTCAACTTATTCATGGATAAATGCAAGTCTCAACAAAATCACTTATCGATCACAACCAACCATGCATGGAATTAAAGTCAGAGCAACAAATGGAAAGGCAATGAAGGTCCTCACCGGGGTATGATATGACATGCAAAGCAAGAATGAATCGCTCACTCTCAAGACCAGTGGGGTCGGGACCTTTTTGTTGAAAAAGATGTGCACAATCATAAACTCTCGCCCTATGGTCTCAATACCATAACGGTAACTTCTAAATTGATCTAGAGTTCACGGGATGGTTGTCACCACTAGCTCGTCCGAGGTCTTAGACACAGGTTCAGATGACTGGCGATTGCCTTGGACATGGGGAAAAGACTTTTTGGGTTGTGGAAATCATGACGTGAGGTTCTACATCTTCAACCTAAACCCGAAGGGTCTATGGTTTCGACTAATACCCTTCTCTTCAATCAAAGGCCACTAGCATCGACCCAAACCATTATCTCTCCCTTCCAACTATTACCAATCATGAACTACCTTGAAGCACTCTTCCTCGGTCAACTCTTGCTAGTTCCTTAAGGTTTGGTAGTGAAGGAGTTCTAAACAATGTGGGGGTTTCATTGGCTTGCGTGCCAAGAAACCCCTCCTAGAGCATGTACTTTGGTTTTTTTTTCGTGGCACTCTCTACTTTATTTACCCCATTTTATTACCTCTTTTTTGTTTCTCTTTTCTTTTCATTTTCTTTTTTTTTCTTTTTGAGGGAGGTATTAGCGAGTAAAAACACTTGACACCTAAACATTTATCGACCAATGCTCTCTTTTTGAGGAACTATCTCCAACAGTACACTCCATTTTGCACTCCTAGCAAGAACCACACATGAACATCCTATGTAGAACCTCTATGGAAACTCAACGGTAAGAGTTCCGGGACACACGGGCGACTTATATTTGGACATGAAGAAAGGATTTGGGGGTCGTTCTACTAACACCTTTAAGCTTACACGAACAAAGCTCCTAAACTGATAATGACCCACGGAATCACACAACTCAAAGTGGTTGACTAAAGGATGATGCATCCCGGGACAATCAACTTTTGGGGCGTGGACTAATCCTTTTCCTCCATCATACTTGCTAGTGATGACTTGTGATGCTACACACCGTGGTAAGAGGGAACTATCACACCAAAAGAAACGAATGGCTCAAAGCTCACAGGCTACCTAGTTACCCAACCATCTATTCCAATTTACAAACATGATGCATGGAAGTTGTAAACAACAAGTGATCAAGTCAAGGACTCCATTCATTTATGCACACTTTGAGAACTAAACTCTTGCCCTATCCTAATGAACTTCTTAGTCATCAATCGTAGGATATACTCAATCACATGCACAGTTCAAGATTAATGCCACAAACATTAGAATTCCCACCATCTGGTCACTTTGAACATACAAACGTTGCTTGGAGCCCTCAGATTTTTGAAATTTGGGCATACAAAAGGCTCCAAGCAACACCTCACTCACACAAGCACACTAGTAGACTACCCCCCCCCCCCCCACACACACACAATTAAACTTGGCATTGCCCTCAATGGCGTAAGAAAGGGGTAGAGTGACGTTACCGCTTGGGCTTGGTGAGTGAATGTAGGAATCGAACCAGGGTAGGATAATTGAAGCTTCAAGGAAAGACAACAAAAAACACACACAAGTACAATACGACTCGCTCGAGGCGAGGTTATTACAAGCACAATACATAGTAGTAGTAGTTCATGTAACACCCCGACCTTTGGGTTCAGGTTCGACCATAATACGTGAACGGTTGGTTTAACGAGTATGTACGAAGAGTTCAACTGGGGGATTAGGAATAATAGTATAATAATAATAACTTTTATTACTATTATTATTATTATTAGTTTATAAGAAATAATAAAAAAAGAGGCGGCCAAAGAGGGCCGAGCCCTCATTAAACCAATTCCCCACGATCCCTCTCGGCCCCAGCCACAATTTCCCCCCCCCAAGCCTAAATCTACCAATTTGTGAGAGGGCAGGAGACAAATTTTGGTCAGCCATTCTATTCCTTCCAGCTGCCATCCCTTGCCTTCCATCATCACCGCCCAGCAAATTGGTCCGCCAAGCAGAAGCAATTTCTAGAGAAGCAATTAGAGAACGTAATAGATATAGCTACGGTGGAACAGCGGTCAGAGAAGCCAAGGCAAGAGCCGACAGCATAAAATCAATTCTGATTCATCGAGAAGCTGGAAATATGAAAAGGAGAGAGCAGTAAAGAAGACGAAAAGAAGATGGACGATTTTAGGGTTTTGACGGTTGCGGATGCGTCGTCCTCCGGAGGCAAGATTACCCCCCCACCCCCTCGTCTCCGATCTCTATTCGCTTAGAGCGGGGTCGTGGAAGAGCATACATTTTGGTACCCTCAATTACGAGATGATCCCTTATCAAGAGAACAAACTTGCTTTTGCGAGCGGGAGACTTCATGGGATCGTCCAAACATATGGGAAGTCGGGGAATTTGGTATTGGTGTTTGAGTTGAGAACTGAAACGTTCGGTGAGATCATGCTCCCCAAGTCTTCGACGAAAATCCGAGCTTCTGAACGGTGAGTGTAAAGGGGGTAAATTCTACGCCTTACGTATTCTTTAAGTATTATGATTTTAAGTATTTTAGCAAATTGGTTATCGTTGCTTGGTTATGTGTATGATTGATTATTTGTGCTTTGCTTGAGTTATGGTTTGAGATGATTTTGTGCTATTTGAGGTGATTTTGTTTGAGCTATGCTTGAAGTGAATGTTTATTAATTACTTTGAAATTTTTACGAGTATAAGTTATTATTAAAGAGTAAGAAACAAGTTCTTTTAAAGAAGTAACTCACCTTAAAGAAGGTGAAGTCGTTTTAAGTGTTTTTAGTCACTAGCGCCAGTCTGTTGCCATTTGAGAATTTCAGATAGAGCAGCAGTTATGCTCTTGAGATCTTTGAGACAGAGCAACAATTATGCTCTTGAGACTCTTAAGATGAGCAGCAGTTATGCTCTTGAGAATCGTGGTGAAGAGCCACCACGATAAGTTTGAGATGTTAGGGGGATGAATCGTTACGACTTCCCTAACTAAGTTTAAGTTTAAGGAAAGCCTGGATGGCTTCACATACGTATGAGTTGGCAACCAGACTAGTTAGTGAGGTATCCCAGTGTCAGTCAAGATTTGAGTTTTAAGAGAGGAGAGTAACTTCAACTCCCTCAAAGTTTAAGAGTTAAGATTTTAAGATTGGAAGTACAAACAACTTCCACTAGTCAAAGTTAAGTGTTTAAGTAAAAGTACTCAAGTATTAGAATTATTAAAACGTAAGGGCGTAGACTGACCCCAACTCACTCACCAGGCCTTAGTGAGAGAATGAGCGAGACCCAGATCGGTAGCAGCTAGCTAGAGGAGCAGTTAGAGAGCAGCGAGTTCGAGAGGAGAAGTTCGAGAGCAACCAGCTAGAGGAGGGCAGTGCAAGCGTCACGGAGGATGCCTAGTTAAGTTTTTCAGTAGCAGCAACGACCGAGATTACCTAGTTATTTACATTTTATGATTATGAGTATAGACTGGAGAACAGATTGAGATTTCAAGTTTGAGTTTAATTTGCCCACGTGTTAGGGCTTTGTTCTGAACTAGAAGTGGGTGTTTTCAGTATTTTATTTATGAAAATTTTTCCCGCTGCAATTTAAGATTTGAGCATTTTATTTATCAAGGGCATTTTAGTAAAAGTAGTACTCGGCCGGGTTAGGGTGTTACAGTTCATGTCACACACACACACAAATAAAAAGAATAAAAAGAAAACAAGTTTAGGGTTACAAGTAGAGAAGTGGGGCGAATGGACTCCGCTCTGCCACATGTCTCTCTCGTCGGCTACCTCTCTCTGGTGGATGGTCCCTCTCCTGACTCGGGTAGGATACTCTGATGTTGAGCCATGCGCTCGAGGATGTCGGACTGTCGCTCGAGGCGGGATGAGAATCCCAAGAAGCCCGTCTCAAGGCGATCAACCCTCTCGACGAGGGGATCGCCTGCTCCAGGTGGTGGTGGATGCTGTGCAGGGCGTGGGAGCGCTGGACGCCGGCGGTGGACGGGTGCATGAGCAGGTGGCTGCTCTGCTACTGGTGGGACCTCGAGTTTGGGGCTCAATCCCTTGATGTACCGTATTGGGCTAAAGGTGCGCAATACGTGCATGGAGTGCAGAGTGCCTTCGTCAAATCTCTGAGTGCCTCCCTCTTTCGAGCACCCTGAGAGGCTAACATCGAAGTGTCTGGCCAGGCGGGTGACGTAACGTCGGGTCCCCCCTTTGGCCCTGGCAAAATTTGTGGCTATGACTGAACCCAGGTGCAACGTGTGACCGGTACGCCATGCAAGCAGACGCTAGTAAGATTCTCTCGGTAATCTTGTTTGGATTGTGGTAAGTCGAGTTGAGGGAACGAGCCAGGAGTGCAACCATGACACGCCACTGGGGATGGAGTGTGGATGTCATGGTGAGGGCCCACGTGGATTTCATCCTTCAGTACTTTGGAAGACACATCTTCAGAAATGTGGCATTTGCATCAAAACTTCGAATGGTGGCTTCCTCCCACTCGTTTCTACGGTTGACTTCCACTCCTAGGGCTCTGACTTCTACTACGGTCGACCGGCGTACCGGAAGACTGAGTAGGCATAGGCTCTTGCGTATGGAGAAGGTGTTGAAAAACTTGACGCAAAGCTCCCCGTAAGTGTCATATTCAAGATCGAGTGCTTGGCGCCATTGGGGGTGCACCATTGCCTCTCTAATAGCGTCACCGCAATGAAGCCTATCAAATTGGGCAAAGTCGAGTTCCAATGGTTGCCGACTCTTGAGGGTTCCCAGAACAACGCTTCTTGCTCCATTTTGGAGGTGCTCCTTAGTGCCACAAGATAGGGTTGATCAATGTTCACCATCCTGCACAAACACAAACACACACCATACGTGGAAATGTCCATCATACACCGCTCATTGGGAGGAAAAGAGATCCCCCCATACTTGTTTTTCCACCATGGCTAAAACATTTAAGCTCAAACAATCGTGGCATGTTTGTGGGTATTTCACGGTGGCTACCATCCACCAATAATAAAAAAACTCCACTTGCATTCATGACAGAGCATTTGGTGGGAAATTTCTAAAAGTAATCAAAATTGGGTTCAAACACGCCCAACAAGGCTCACTAAGCTCATGCAATAATCAATCCATCAATCACACGATCTAATTCACCTAAGTCCTCTCCCTAACTAGATTCAAGCATGCCAAGCACAAATATTCAACCTCACTTCACTACTTAATCCGATTCTCCACAATTCTCAAAGATAAAGTTGGAAAAAAACCTGGATAATCAAGTAGGACAAGGGAGGAAGTGAGGTGTGGGAGAGGACGGTGAAAAACTGGTTGGAAAACTGACCGGAGAGGGGTCGCCGGAGCTTCGTTGAAAGCTCGCCGGAGACTCGCCGCCGATGACTTGGCCGAAAAAATGTGGTCAAATCTCCCCAAATTCACAGCACAGGCCGGGTTTGAGGAGAGGGGACTAGGTATGACGTTGGTTTTTGATTTTGCTCGCCGGATTTGGTGGAAAAATCGGAAAAGCAACGGTATTTCGCGTTTTCCGGCGAATATTCAAAATTTTCCGACAAGTTTTTTGTCGTGAAGTGAAGGGTTGTCGTCACGCCCCTTTTATAAGCAGAGCTCTGAGTTCACGGATGCATTTCCCAGTTCATGGTCTTAGCGACCATGAACTCGTGAATGCGTCCGTGAACACGGAGTGGTTGACAGGTGGTGAACATGCATCATCGCCCAGTTCACGGACCCATTTGCCTATTCACGGTCTTAGCGAGCGTGAACTCAGCAATCCGTTTGTGAACTCAAGTGAAAACAGGGCACTTCTGCAAAAGTTTTGACTCAACCTATTCCTCAGTGCCTCCTAATTGATCACAACAAAACCATAAACCACAAAAACACAACACTCCGCACGGGGAAACCACTTCACCACTCAAACCCTTCACAAGACACTAAAACGAAAACTAGGAAAAAGAAAACAAACCTCCGTTGGGTTGCCTCCCAGCAAGAGCTTGTTTATCGTCATTAGCTTGATGGTTGGGGATCAATCACGACTTCAAACGTGATGCCAGCGAGAGCGGATCCACCACACCTTCGGGACGAGGCTTGTAGCTTCCCGTATTAGGCTCATTGAGTTGGCCCTCTTGGTTGACCAACCTTGCTCCGGGCTCCCCCATCTTCCGGGTCAAAGATCCCTTCATCCTTCTTCTCCAAGCATTCAATCTTGGTCCTTTTGGCTTAGGACCCTTCTTAACTTCCTGCTCAACATCATCAAAGACAACACAAGTAATGGTGGGTTTGCCTTAGGAGGCTCTCCTCCACTCTCATTCACATCATTTGAGACTACCCCCTTCACTTCATCACTCCTCACCCTAGGATCAATTTCAAGCTTGATTCTCTCCTTACCATCCCTCAAAATTAGGGTTTTCTCATTAACATCTATCAATGCCTTGGCGGTTGCAAGAAAGGGACGGCCGAGGATGAGGGGCATATCCCAGTCCTCACTTATGTCGAGAATCACAAAATCGGTCAGATCGGAAAACTTTCCCACTCTCACCATATCCCTCTCGAGCTAATGACCGAACGGTCGACTAAGGTGATGCTAAGCTTAGAGGTCTTAAGTTCACCTACTTCTAGCTTTTTGAAAAGTTTGTAGGGCATCACATTCACACTATATCCTAGGTCCGCCAAGGCATTGTCTATATGGTGATCACCAATATCAAGAGGGATAGTAAAGCTACCTGGGTCGGACCGCTTTTTGGGCAAGTGGTGAAGGAGGAAAGCCGAGCACTCCTCGCCAAGAGGCGCGTTGGGGAGGCCTTCAAGACTTGGCTTCTTGATGAGGAATCCTTTGACGTACTTGGCATATCTTGGCATTTGCGCCATTGCTTCGAGGAATGGGACGTTGAGGTGGAGGTTGCGTAGCATTTCCATGAACCCTCCACACTCTTTGTCCAACCTCACCTTGTACATAGTTGACTTGCTCCTCCAGAGTGGTTGCCTCCTTTATGGGTTATAAGTATTGCTATACGGGTTGTTGACCCTAGAATTTGCCACAAAGTTGACTTACTCCTCCGGAGTGGTTGCCTCCTTCATTTCTTGGCACTCCGCTATCTCGTGGCTAGTACTCGAGCACCAGTCGCACAACATTACCACCCGTTTTCCTTGCCTTTTATCTTCAAGCATAACCTCAAGCAACTTATCCAACTTTGCCTCAAGCGGAGCACTCACTCCCATGCTTCTCACTCCCTTTTCATTGCTTCTTCTTCCACTTCTATTCAACCCCCAATCATACCCCCTAAGGGCCATGTCTTCTAGGATCTCGGTAATTTGGGGCGGAGCCATATTTGTCAACTTCCCCTAACATAAGGAGTCGATGAGGATCTTATCTTCTTGCATTAGGACTTCGTAGAAGGTTTCAATCCGAAATTGTTCCTCAAACCCGTGGTGGGGGCACTGAAGAAAGTAATCAGAGTACATCTCCCAAGCATCCCTCAAGGTTTCGTCCTCTTCTTGCTC